GACAAACATCCTCTTTATTTCCTTTTTTTATTTTTTAAGGAGAACAAAAAAAAAGACAATATTGTAATAATCCAAATCCACTGTGTTCTCGAGGTGAAAAGGTTTATCCGTGAATAAATGAGGAGCCGAGCGGCAAAACCTTGAACTTGTTGAAGTTTTTTTTAAGGTCTATCAATAGCAAGCGGAGACAAGCGCTGAATGCAAACGCTCCCTATCAGTCGTGTCCCTGGAGCGGTTTGGTTAAGCGCAGTCTGTGTGTTTGGAATCTTAAAGCGAAGGAGCCACACTCACTATTGAAAGCTGCTGAAGAGGTCAGAAAGGAAGTGGCGCTGAGAGCGGAGTGACAGAGGAACACTCAAGACACAGGCAGTTGTTAGTGTCAACATGCCGCAGAGACTGTGATGGGGATCGTTTGGCAAAAAAAAAAACTCTCCCAAGCAAATCCGTTTGCATATATCTGGTTAATCCATACCTATTCCCCTCTCACTTGTGAACGTCAAGGAGCCGACTCGCCCGAAGAAGCCTGTGATTCTTCTACGGGCGAGCAACAGTGCAGGTGTTGCATCAATGTTTAAAGAGTATGTGACATTGGGATTTGTGTGTTTATACAATACGCTAAATTAAAGAATTATAGCAGACAGACAGTAGTATCTCTGTGTTGAGATAACTTAAGAAATGTTGATGCAAGCTTAGGCCACATTCAGACTGCGCTGGATTAGCTTCCAGGCTGAGAAAAGCAAAAGAATTGAAATGCAAATAAGACGGGGATTACTGAGAGAGCATTCACTCTACCAGAGCTTCCTCCATTAACTGGTGAAATACTGGTCAAATTTGAAAAGGAAGAAGAAAAAAAAGTCTCTAAGCCTAATGGTTATTCTCACTTTACTTACTTTTGTTTAGCAAGTTAATAGCTCAATAAATTTCTTGTCATCAGTGTGACATGAACAAATAAGACAACGTTTAGCACCTTGCCTGGTAAATTACGCGCAGCACAATATGCATAATGATCCAATCTAAGCCGATAATCATTCCCATCATTCCACACACTCTAATAAACTGGCGCTCTGTGGCGGGGAGTCCCTATTCCCTAAACATGTTTGCCCTTGTTAGCGTCAACCTGAAAACAAAGTGTTCATTTCCGCCCTACACGGATAAGAGCTTTATTCGACTATCCAGTGAGTTGTGTTTCAATCCGAAGAAAACGGCGCTAAATGAGAAACTGAATCATCTCGACTTCAAAAGCGTGCTTCCTTGCACGCCCGGCAGTGTGAAATTTCTAGCTGCAGGGATGGCACCGACTTGAAAGTACCCTAACGTGAATACTCTTTTATAGTTTTTCAGATCTGCAAAGAATGGGAGAGGTGCTTATTGACTCTATTCTACCTTTTGAAAGTGTGCTTTTAAATATGCTTCTGTTCTGTCTTTGATGGGCCTGCGAACGAATTATATTGCTGAATGCATTACGCAACATTGACAAACCGTAAAACTAAATTTCCTTAACCTAGCCTTAAAGTTTCCTTATTTAATACAGCAACTTTTTATTTATTTGTATTTATATTGAGTGTTGTTAAAACATTTTTCATGGAACTATTTCATCATCATCATCATCATCATCCTGGCGCTGACAGACTGTAGTTCTCTAAGTGGACTGCGCCCTCTGCTGGAAGATTTAAAACACAGCACAGCATCTCTCCCTCTCATTCATTCGCTTCAGGGAGCAATGGCAGCAGAGCAGCCTCCCTGCAGCTTCCTCCAGCTCCTCCTGGGGGATCATCAAGCACTCCCTAGCATGCAGAACACATGTAGGGTTGATTGAATTTGTCTTTTCTGCTGCTCATTTCTGTCCCACCCTCCCTCTTTCAGACTGCAGTCTCTCACCAGGAAGTTACTTAAAGTGTGAGGACGAGGAGAAAGGAGTGGATGAGGGAAGCTGATTTGCTGCCCTCAATTAAATCTTCAGTCCAATAACCAATAATGAAATCAAGTACTTCAAATTCTCTTACAGGGATATGGAGTGCATGGGAGATAGATAGGCTGCACACTTGCCCAGTAGGGTTTTCTCTTTATTTTCCTCCAATTAGGAAAATCAGATATTCTGGTTTTAAGAATGAAACCCATTGTGTCTGATCATTGTTGCTGTTCAAATAACTCTCCCTACAGGATGTTTCTCGCTTTTCTTTAGGACAATGTGTCCAACGAGGAGACCTTGAAGCTGCTGTTGTTTCCTACAATATTAGGACAGCTGGCAAGATTAAAGAACTGACATCCTTTTCAGGGACGCAACAAAACGGAGGAGGCAGGGAACGGAAAGGAGAGAGCGTTTTAAGGGGAGAACAACACACCTGTAGTCGCCCCAGCCTGTCCTCTCTTCAAGGTCTCGTCTCGGCTTTCCTACCGATGCTCCCGGAACCTGGGAAGGATTGTGAGCAAAACATAAATGATTTCCTTCACTGGAGCTGCCATTTCTGTCATTAAGCTGTGAACATAACCTTGCTAAAATGTTGAAATATACCTGAACTGTGCAATTTATCAGAGCCAATGTGAAAGTAGAATGTGGCTAGTCTTTTTTCACAATGTAACAGACAGGTAGACTCTTTTAAAAACAACAACTGATTCATAGAGTGTTTTGGTGGGAGGCATCAAAGACCTTGGGCCATCAAACTACACTGTACTCACAAGCCGTGTTGTCAGCAGCGAGGCCTACGCGCACATAATTGCAATAAGCAAACATAATGTGGATTTGACAGCTCTTTACAATTCAAAAAATGTACCCGTCCAGCAACCAATTGTTGCTATTCTGCTTTTGTTATGCCACTTTGTGTTTCCACATGGTGGTATGACAACATTCTAACAATAAAGTTTCCTGCAAAAAAAAAATATTTGCAACCATTTCTGTCTACTTGTAAAAAAAAAACAGACAAAACTACTTACAGTGATTCTCTGAACAACCTTAATCTTGATGCAGTGGAGCAATGACAGCCGAGCACATTGACCTCCAGAGCAAAGTCATCTTACAACGGCTTGGAGGAGTCAAACATGGCTGCGTCTAGGAACATCAATTTTATTCCAGTGTGAAAGGATTAGTTTCCCAGGGTCAGCGGAGCTGTGACCAGTCTGTCACTTTGTATGCTCAAACAGTTTCAGTGGTGTTTACAGTGTTGCTCCGTCTGCCACATAAATCATGTTCTGAATTGACTACTGAAATGTACTTAATGGTGTAAATACTGTTCTACTTTGGTAAAGCTTTTGAAACATAATAATCAGGACGGCGTTTGCACTAAACTACAGCTAGAAATTACAGCAAGTGAAGTGCTATTGCATTGTATAGTACTGACAAGTGAAGTTATTTTGTCCATCCTGTGTATGAATTCACATTTTGAATACGATGCTAAACAATAGGAAGGAGTTTCTTACTTCTACAGCTGAAAGCAATCCATTCTGCTACCAATAAAAGTTAATGTTCAATATTTCCACACAGTTTAAATAATGTACTGTTGCTATACCAGCACTTAATAAGAACACCGGTTTAAAGATCCATCATGTTAAAACTGTCAATACATCTTGTAGGATTATTATTAAAAATATATATGTTCCTGGGGCGTCGCTATAGCTCACCTGGTTAAGCTGGCGACCCACGTACAGCGGCTATACGCTCCGATGCAGAAGCCATGGGTTTGATTCCCGCTCATGGCCCTTTGCTGCAACCCCTTCCCCCCACTTTCCTGTCTGTCTTTCAATTGTCCTATCTAATAAAGGCAAAAAACATATATATATTTTCCTATAACCTGATCCTACAAGTGCCATTCTTTAAACACAGTGACGTGTTTGTTTTTCCTCCAAAAAACTTTGTGATAGTCATATAAAAGCAGGCCAGAAAAGACATCAATTACAGCTCCCACAGGACCTAGAAACAGGCCGATCATCAAAACCTCATGGGAGCCTTATCTGGGGAGTGATTATTTTTTTTGAGTCCCTGTCATACCTGTCTTAAATAAAAAGCTGTTCAAAATGTATGAGCAACCTGAGCAGGAGAAATGCCATGTTTTCTTGGAACATGAAAAAGAACACCCCAGTGTCTTGTTTGAAATTCAAAACATTGTTAAAAATAAAAATGCATTGTGGAGCTATACGGCACAACTCAGGCAGGAATTCAGCTCTCTATTTTTCAACCAAGACAGCGAGAACACAGGGGGATGATTCTCTGAGCTTTGTAATAGACAAAGTCTGCATCACAGGCAGATGTTTCATTTAAATCGTAACCTTTAATTCCACTGTGAATTATTTTGGTTCACCTTTGGTTTCAGGTTGTGTGATTTTTTTCTTTTTCTTTTCTTTATCAGAGATACCTTATAAATCTTCCTGTATAACAGATTTCATTATTGAGGAGCCGCCACAATACCAGAATCAAAACGGAGATCATTCCACAACCACATAATTTGATAAGTTTGGTGACACGCAAAGTGGGAAGCTGCCTGATAGGAATTCATCTTTACTTTCACAGACCCTGCAAAGTAAAGGCAAAATCAGGCAAGAAGTTTAACCTGGGGCTGCAAGGTGGCGCAGTTGGTAGCACTGTTGCCTCGCAGCAAGAAGGTTGCCGGTTCACGTCCCGGTGGGGGCACCGGAATCTTTCTGCGTGGAGTTTGCATGTTCTCCCCGTGCAGCGTGGGTTCTCTCCGGGTTCTCCAGCTTCCTCCCACACAGTCCAAAAACATGTTGAGGTTAATTGGTGATTCTAAATTGTCCATAGGTGTAAATGTGAGTGTGCTTGGTTGTCTGTCTCTAAGTGTGGCCCTGTGATAGACTGGTGACCTGTCCAGGGTGTCTCCTGCCTTCGCCCTAAGTCAGCTGGGATAGGCTCCAGCTCCCCCGCGACCCTAATGAGGATTAAGCGGTGTATAGAAAATGGATGGATGGATGGAAGTTTAACCTGTAATTTCAAAAACACACGTTTCTAATGTCTAGTGTATGTTAACATCTCACAGTCTTGACCAGGACAGTAAAGAGTTTCATCATTTTTATTTTGCATGATTTCCACAGTCTTGAAATGCACATTTGAAAACCCAATTAAAAAAAAAAAAACTTCAGAAAATATATTTTAAATTAAACAAGAACAAATATTCAGTGGTGAAGGGCGATGACGATATCTGCCTCAAAGTCTTTTTTCTTTGCTTTGTAGAAACTCGTTGCAAACTAAAAATTCCCAGAAGCCAAAGTTCCTACATATTTTGCAGTCAAAGCTTTCAGTAATTCTTATTAGCTCTTGAATGTCTGCGAATCAACAGATCATTAAAGTTTGTCAAAGAGTTTGCAGTGCAGGTATGCAAGCTTATGAGTCCTGCATTTCCTCACCAAGGGAATCCACTCATGATGGCACAGCTCCACAACCCTGTAGCCCACCATCTGCAACTGTCTTCTCTTCATGGCATGAAATCCCAACAACTGGTCTGACTGGGAACAGTAGTGGTTCCTGTTCATGACCTGGACCGCAAGTTTGACTGTGCCTTTGGATTTCTGGCGAGCTGAGCCGAAGCTGCTGGGTTTGTTACGAGTTTGTGTTCTGCCACCGGTCAGGTCCAGCACTGACTCAAACACTCTTCCACCTTCATCGGGCTGTAGTCTGTGAACAGCTGTAGGTTTCACTCTAGAAGATGGAGATGAAGGATCTGTGATGTTTTTGGTAGTTATTAGTTGAGCAAGAAGTTCATCAGTTATAGTTACACCTGTGTATAACTTGCCCCAACCCTGAGGAGGAGGAGATGTGGGCAAACTCTGTTCTGAAGATACTGGGTTCACAGGTATAGGTTCTCCAGTGGAGTCTAGATGTACCTCCAGGTCGATGGAGCGATTGTGGGGCAGGATCATTCTCTTACAAACAAATTTTTCTCCTCCAAGCAGATCTTGCAGGGCAGATTCTGCCTCCTGAACCTCTGGTTTCTGGCACACATCTGATTGAACGAACTTCCACAACATGTCTGTTACCTCCTCCCTAAGTTCGTTGCTTAAGCGTGGGCCAGTCCAGTGAGGCAACTCCAGAGCGACAGTTCCATCTAAAGTGAACAAGTCTTTTTTGAGCTCCAGGTCTTTCTTTTTCAGTGCTAAGTTAACAAAGTCAGGGCTCAGGGCGAATGCAATTAGGTCCTCTGGGAACTGAGAGACAAAGGCCAAGCCGAGGAGACCAGTAAGCAGATGCTCTGGGTATCGGAGGAATTCACTCTTCTGTTGCCTCAGGACTTCTGTAAGGCCCGAATAGAAGCTTGGGTTCTGCGCTGGGAGAAAACCTACTGTGCCGTAAGCCCACAGGAGTTTGCCTGAGTCTTTCGACCTGCAGTGTGACACAAGTGAGGGAACTCTCTCAGCGATAGCACTAAGGATGTCATCATTTCTGTAATGCATCGCTGAACAGGTAAGTGCGACATGCATCACCCCTTCGAGCTTCATTCTGTGGGCCCGTTGAGGAATTTCCTGTGCCATGGCCTCCAGCCACGGCCTGTGAAACAAGTAACTGAAACGCATGAATTTCAGCACATTCACAATGGCAAAGTCACTCATCTCCGGTACAAAAGAGAGTGCTTTATCCACAATGCGAGTCACTGCACTCTCAGAAATTGAAGTTTGGGCTTTAAAAAACCCCAAGCATACAGTGCCAACCTCCTCAGGGTGCAGTTGTTGTAAATGACGCAAGACAAGCTGCTGTAAAGGATGGATCAACTTCTTTGGGCACTGCCTTCCTTCTCCCATTATATACAGCAGGTGGACCAGCTCAGGGACCCCCACCTGTCCCAGAGACAGATAAACTGAGTCATAGAGGTGCTGCAAGAACTGGGGCACCTGCTTCCCAATACAGCGCCACATGTCAGCGGCTAACAGCAACTGATGTAAGCTCATCTGGCTGGCCCGTCGGCTGAGCTCAGCCTCATAAAGTTCGAGTATAGTGTGAGTGGAGGGAATGTCCAGCCATACAAACGCCTGCAGCACCTCCAGCAGCTGAGGATGAGTAAAAAGGCCAAGGTTTTCCACAGAATATCGGAGGAGTACGACAAAGCGCTGGTCCGCCCTCACTGTTGGTATGTTGTCTGGGTGCAACCGGCTGAGCCCCACGAGAAACTGACACACATCCGATGGTTTCATGCTGCCCTTTAAAACATTCACCTTACGGAGCAGCGAGAAGCCCTCCGTCCAATTGATTGGGTGAGGCCTCTGGGTGAGGTCAAGGGACATTGAAGCATACTCTGGCCGGCATTTGAGGAAAGCCCGTGTGATTACTTTAAAATCTGTCGGTGCAGGTTGTCTGTGGTGGAGTGACCCTGACGAGATCTGGGGCTCAGGGCTTTTGTTGAGCCCTAAGTCAAGAAGCGTATGTTTTGAGCTAGAGAGAAACCGTGAGCATCTCACACTGTAGCGATTACTCTGTTGCCAGAAGGAAGGAGCATGAGTGGAGAGACACTGTTCATCTTCATCATCAACTGCTTGGCTGCAGGAGTTCCACACAGAGCGATGATATGAGGACGGGTTGTAATACAGCTTGTACCCTCCTAGGACAGAGGCTTCCTGGTGTTGCAAGACGCCCTCCTTTTCCTCCTGATCATCAGTCTCATTTTGCAGTTTGACGTGCGTGTGCTGAGCCTGGGCAAAACCGTCTCTCCAGCCTGGGAGGTAGCGCAGCCTGGGCAGCCGCCGATACAACACACAGGCCGCCATCAATGTGCCAGACTGGGAAGATCAAAAAAATAAAGGCAGGATTTTAGTGAAAACCCAACATGCAATTTCTATTGTGCCAAGCAGTGGTATACCGCACAAGGATGTGAATTAGGTATGATTTACCAAATACAGTGCAAAGTTGTTAAGAAAGCTTAATCCTTTCTGCTTTTTTTTTATTATTATTTGTACAATTGTACATATAAACGACTGTTAAGAAAAAGTCTTGGCTGAAACACAGTGTCCCAGCTGTTTGAGTGGGTGAAAGTAGTTTTATTTGACAGAAATACTTTTAAAATGTTCAACACAAACAAAGCAGAAATGTGTTATGGCAGGAGGCTCTGAGCAAATCTTTGTATTAGTCCTTTTTATAGAAAATTCACGCTGTCTACTAGAAATGGTTGAACACACACTCAGCACTGTAACATAATGACTCTATAGCAGCCTACAGTTGTTGCTGTGTTTATGATTGTCGTCAAAATACTACACGACATGTCCCTTGAATGTGTTTAAATTAGAATATAGCTTCCCTTGGTTAATTCTAAGGGTTTAGTAGTGTGTCAGTCAGTAAACCAAAAGCGGCCCAGTACATTTTAGAGCTGAAATTTGAGACAGTGAACGTTGATTTAAACTAAGTTGCTCCGTTTTTAATGTCGCAACGTAACGTAAAGCAGATTTTACAATAAACCACATTGCACAGAGTTGTATGTCTGTTAACTCACCTTTTACCCTCCAGCTCGGGCCTGGTTCAAACCTCATGAAGCAGGAAACCGAAGAAACGTGAAGTCGTTAGAGGAGTGTAGCTGCTGCTATCATACGTGAACGTGGGTAATTCGATTTTCAAAATAAAAAAACATACGACTTTATCGGCTAAACAATGGAAACACCGTTGTATTAAATTAGGTTAATACGTCTCGCTCGGATGTTTAGAATTACAGCAAAGCATAACTGTGTTAAATATCTCCATGAAGTTGTCTATTTAACCGCCGTAATAGCATCGTGTCTGCCTTGAGGTACTTTATTGTGGTGATACAGCGACTTCACTTCCGTGCAAAGCCGCCATAGCTGTTTGACCTACGGCAGCCGGAAAGGTTCAAACTTCACAACAACGAAACGCAATTGCTTAAAAAAAAGAGAGAGAGCTATGTCATATATAGAAGCTTTACAGTGCTGTCCTATATTATATATGTTAAAACACAAAATCTACTGCTGTTTGTTAGAAACTTTACGTATTATTTAGGGTTTAATGTACTATTATAATAGAAAACAGAACTTTTTTTCATACATATTAATCAAGAGCATGAATGTTGCTGTAATAAGGTTGTGGTAATTCAGTTCATTAAGTTCTGAAAATAAACCAAATAATATAATCTTTGAAAATAAAAGTGCAGTTTAGTCCGGTGTCTGTTGTATATATGTATTTTTGCTTTAACATACCTTGTAATACATCCTCTCTCTCTTGTCTAATGACGTTTACTTTTAGGGCTCCAGTGACATTGAACCATTATTAAATTGGGATGTTATAGGCCTGGACTGGTTTCCCATGATGCACAGAGCACCTCTCTTATCCTCTCCTCTTTCTCGTCTCATACATTATTACACCATCATTGCATGGCACTAACTTTTTGTCTTTTCTTTTGTGTAGTTTTAGTATTTTGTCCACTCTGCAGGTATCTCTGGCTGCAGAGCTCCACGTTTCTGAGCACCAGGTCCTGGCCTCACTGACCTCCTGAAGATTTACTGTTCTGTTAGACACTGTTTGTCTGTTTTCTGTCTGGTATCCTCTTCTCTCTTCCTTTTACCCTAATCCTAACCAGTCTGGTCGGTGACCTCCCTAAACCTTGTTCTACTCCAGGATTTTTTTTTCTTTTCCTTTTTTTTTCTTTTCCTGCAAAGGGGATTTTTATATATATATGTCTACTGTTGTAAGAGTTTCCTTGTCTCACCAAACCATGTGAAGAGTTGAACTGAATTGAACAAAATTTAAACAGACCTGACCTGACTTGAATCAAAATTAATTAATTAATGCTTGTTTATTTTTTTTAAGCGACATTATTTCAGCAAAGGAAATCGACAAACGAATTTGCTTTCAGTTAACCCAGATGTACAGAATAATTGGATTTCCTTTGATATATATTAATTTTAAAGTGATTTTTCTTTCTTGTAAACAAGTATAATTTAATAAATAGTTTTCATCTATGATTTTGTATTCGTAAGAAACTGCTAGATTCTTTCTGTATGAACATTATTAAAACCTAAAACTGAGTTATTAATGTAAGAAACCATTTAAAGGAAGACATTAACAACATTTTTAGTCGCATAAAAATGTAGAAGCGTAATGCAACAATTACACTAGTTGTTAGTATGGGTAGGTTTCACCTGGATAAAATTTCCCAGGTAAAATAATCAGTTATTGCAAGACTAATTCTGTTGAGCTTCTTCACTCTCAGCATTCTGGTGCTGCTAAAGCTGGATCATTGTCACACTGTGATTTAGGACACTGAAATAAAGCAAAACCTTTGTTTATATTATTAGTATCATAATCTCCTATTATAATGAACAAAATTGGGTTAAACTTTTTCTGCATTTTGTTTTAAATTCAGTACTAGAAGTCTGTTTTTTTGCACTTAAGGGAATCACTTAGAAACTCCACAAAGAAATTCAATGTCCTAATACTTTGATTGTCTACCACAAATTCACAATCTTTCCTTTATGCATGTGGTTAGAAATCTTCTATAAATTGTTCCCAACGACACTGGGATTCAACAACTTTATCGTTTATGTTTCTTATATTTATCTTTTTCTGTTTCACTCTGGGTTTGGGTTGGAAAAACATTCATTTGAAAGTCAATTGTAGTTAGTTTAGTTTTTCTCTTTTGTTTATTTAGTTTAGTTTTTAATGTTATGATTTGAATATATTGTTTATTGTGCAGAATTTTGAATTTATAGCTTTCAAACTAAATAAATCGTTGCGATAGGTAAGATGCAAAATACTTGTTTAAGTTGCTGGAAAACACATACATCTTCCTGACAGAAATTTGTTTCCTTGCCTGTGAACTAATTATGTTCCCAAGCCAACTAGTGTTGCAGTGAGAAGCATTTTTTGACCATATGGCATTCAGATCTTCTCTTCAGCTAATGAAAAAAAATGTGTTTTTCCAACTCATTTGCAATAAATGCTGTTTAACTTGTGTGCTTACAAAAACAAACATTTAACAATATCACAAAATAGTGTTTCAGATGTAGTCATCTCCACCTCCTCACCACTATTTTATATGTTTTTGTGACTAACCCACAGAAATGAATCACAATTTATGCAAGAATTTTATTTTCGTCAAATGGCATGTCATGTTATATCCATAACTAATGAATTTGAATTTGCATTGCATGTCATATATAAACATAGCACAGTATATTTAAAACTGCAGTTCTGTTTCCCTCATTTTAATTCATCATTTGCATTTTACTTCTGTGTGAGCGGGAAGGCAATTTTAAATTCTGTGCCTCTATTGTGTGACTTCACACTAGACTGAATCCAGGGGTGAAAGGTGAACTCCACTGACCTATGGCCATAAGGAAGACAATCCCCTCATTTCTGAATGGGAACACTCCTCTTGTCCTTTCAGTTGAAAGAACCTCAGCAGCAGACACTGTAAACCATGTTGGGGGCCGTTATTTTCACTTTACTGAAGTCTTTGCTGATACGACTGAATATTCTCTCACTATGTGTAATAAAATACTACCTTAAATAAAAGTTTAGGCACTAACACGGCTGCATATTGGTTCATACAAATGTGCTAAATGGCACATGCATGCTGTCAAGCTGGAGAGTTCATGGTTTCAACTTAGCACAAAGCTGCAGCCACAATTTTATCAACATTATATTGTAGATTTTTTGTTGCAACATTTGGAAACAAATTACAATAATGTTAATCACATGATGCTATAATAATTAAAGAATATACAAAGAGGAGTTGAAACATTTCTGTGTGTTTGAATAAAAACTAATACGAAGTGCAACATGTTTCACATTCTATTTATTCGATATGTGGTCATTAATCAGTTTTGCACTGACGTCCTCTCATGTTAGCTTGTTTGACTACATGCAAATAATATCTAATATTTATCTGGCTTCATGTTTAATGACTGATAGCAATGCATTTACTTTTGTTTGTTTCCCTTGCATTAAAACTAAGTTCTACACTATTGTTGTGCAGTTTTAAGATTGTTGGTTTGTATTTTATAATTAATTTTAACCTCATTTTGCCCACAAAATCAAATGAAAAATGAACTTAGTCTGCAAGCAAATTAGATACTATGATGTCTGTTTTTTTTCTATTATTATTTGATTTATCTAAAGGCTATGTTTAAACTGCAGTTAATAGTTTTAAGTAAGGACCACATCATTTGTGAGGCAACGTTGATATTATTTTAAAAAATGATGGATGCATAATAAATTAAATAATGGTATTAAGTTTACAATTAAGAATACAAAGACTTCAAATGCTGTGCAGCTATGTCAAGCTGCTTTTACTACAGAGGTGCCATAAATAAATATTAACAATTAGATTTATGACATTTGTCTTGTAATGACAGGATATATTTATCTGGATATTCTCGTAAAACAGTTCGTTGCTACACATGTAAACATCCCGTAAATCAGGTTATAAAACTTTATGGGCGTCGACTTGTGCGACTCTTGTATTGTTACCGTCTGTTAAAGCTAGCTGTTTACTTCCGGTTTTTTTTTTTTTTTTTAACTAATATTAATTATTTTTTTTCTAATGAGGTGTTTTGTGTATTCCGCCACCCGTGTGTTAGTCAACAGCATAAATAAAGTGGTGAAACTTCAGAGCAGCTCTTGGAGAGGAAGTAGCTGATTTATGCTAATGAAGGAGTTGAGGTTCGGCTACGCTGGCTGGGAGCCGCCCTTCATTCACCACATGGTTAAACCCAGACTCCACTCGCGCCACTTTCGCAATCTTACTACGATTCCCAAACTCCTAGCAAATCATAATAGTAGCACATGGTTGTGTACTTTTTTTTTTTTTTTTTTTTTTTTTTTTGATAACACGTCTTAGCCGTTATTCAACCTTTTGAAGTCCCATTTTCTTTTCTCACTTTTGCAGATATCCCAGAAACAGAGTGAGTAAACGGTAAGTCTGAACAAGTGAGTGAAGATGGTGGATTTTTTTTTTCCTTTCTTTTTTTTTTTTTAAGAAGCTAGTGTCTTATAACGCGCGTGTTATTGGCAAGAAACCTGTTGTTAGCCTTTTCGGGAGATGCAGGTGAAGAAAGTGAAATGCTCGTGGACTGAATGCGACACCGGAGCGCACTTTTTACATAAAGAGGAAAAAAACGTTTTAATGGTTAGTTTCCGCATTTGCAAAACAATGTTGTAAAAAAAGGGGCGCATGGCAACCTCTCCTCCATGGTTCGGAGAATGAGGGAGATTTGAAAAGCATGTGTTGCTGCTACATCTCAAGTCGGGCTGGGGAAGTGAACCAGCACTCGTGAAAATATCACGCGTTGCACTGTGCGGCGGTGGCTGCGAGTTGTACACTCGTGCTGCTCACGCTGTCGCCCGTGTGTTGGTAGATTTTTTGAAGTTTTCCGTGGATTTGTGCGCAGTGGTGTACATTTAAAAGTGCCTCCAGAACAAAGCAGCAGCACATGGGGGTTGCAAAGCAAGGCCGCGCGCCTTTGCTATCCCGCGAGCCGCCTTGGCTAGCCGCTAATGCTAACACACCGACGAGTATATGCGTTTAAAATCCATTCTTGACACCGGTTTGACTGGCGCG